CACCGAGGTAATGTAAGAGGGTGCTGAAATCTTGAAGTTATGTTAAAATTCAACTTTTGCCTCCAGGCTGTAAAAATTGGACCTCTCCCTCGCAGTGCATTTGTGCCCCTAATAAGGCTCAGCAGAAACGTTATTAGATTTCTGCGGGTTACAGAGGAGAGTAACGTACCGTTCTGATTCGTTTTGCTCCTTCGGCTCCATCGGTTAGAGAGGTCCAACAGCTCCTGATACAGCATCCTGAATTGCCGGGGTGTCCTTCTTCCTAACTTGCATCCAGAGGCTCCGAGAGGCTCCCAGCACATATAAATCTTGTACTCTTGAAAGCACGATTGAGGCCAGTGCCTTGTTTTTTTAAATGTTTTTTCCAGAGGATTAAGATGGGCTTTCAAAGCAAGATAGAGAGCTTCTTGCTGTAAACCCTATGCAGAAGAAACCTGATGAACTCAGTTTCAAAATGATAAAGGAGAGGTAGGCACCTTTTCTGGAACCCAACTGAGAGCAAAACAGCCCACGGAGTACTTTAAATACAGTTTGCTGGATGGCTTAAATTCCAACATTAGTAGAAAAGGAGAATCAAAAGTTATTTTTACTGAAATAACGAAGTGCTAGCATGCACTTTAAATTAAACTGCTCAGAAATCCACTGTGTAATCTACAGTTTCACCCTAATACTGTTTTCAGTAAGCAGGACAAATCTATTTCCTGGCAAAGGGTTGAACAGATGGCAATCCATTAGCAAACCTGGCTTTTCAAAGGAAAGTATTACTATTTCAGAATTACACATTCCTTTTCATTACTAAAACTATGCTTTAAAAAATCCACAATACACAAAAATGCAAATTAGTCGCAATTTAAATATAAGCATCTGTTGTCTGTGTCCAGGATATGCCTAACCATTTAGCAGCGGTGCCAACATTACAGTCTCCCTGGTTGTCAGCCAGGGCTGATATTAGTGCGAGGGAGATAAAACATGACAGAATGATAGGATGTGACTTGCAAAAGGAAAATACAGGCAAGAAGAAATAGATTTAAATGCTGCACCTGGCCTGCAGATGGCCATTTCGTCAGAGGGATACACTTCGTCACCTATAACATGTTGCTGCTACGTCAACTGAAGAGGCTGGGCTGAAGCAACCCCAGAAGCAACTAGACCAAGCCCAGTGCTTCCAGATATTTCCTCTGTAGTCTTTCTTTCACAGCCATGGAAGAAGGAAAGTGCTACATGGTGAGATTTTCCAGATTTCTGTTGCTTTTATTAAAGCAGACGCAGCTATGTTTACTGTCACTGTGCTTTGCACAGCTCTGCTGTGATGTAGGCGCAGCCCTGAAAAGTCTTGTACACTCGTATTCACTTTGCCATGTCCCACGGAGAGCTCAGCGCAGCGAGAAAATAGTGAGCGTTTCAGGAGAGGCCGCGTTCGTAACGTTGCATTGCTGAGGGAATTGCTGCTTGGTATCTGGCAGGAAGTGTTCTGCATTTCCCCCCGCTAAGGGTCACCAAAATGGTAAAACGTCATCTAGATACATACATCAGAAATCTGAATTACACTCTGACGTGGTCTCCTGCTGGACAAAACATATACACTGTATTCTAGTACAGAGATGGGAGTTTTTTTAAAGCCTGACGTAAGTGGAATCCAAAACCTGTATGGTAAAATGAATTACCATTTAAAGGTGAAGGGCATGTTGTGTGTGAATGATTGAAAGCCAATTACATTCTGGAAGATTACTACAGTCCAAAGCACAGGAATTAATTTCCTTAATTCCTGTCATCATGTGCCTTTCTACCTGCACAAATGTGTGCAAGTTCCATTAGAGCTCTTTAATATGTGGAACAAGTTCACAAAATAATGGAAATTTTAATCACTTACAATTTAATCTCAAAGGCTTTTGCCTGACCTTTGTGTGGTGCTCTGCTGAGAGGAGGGGAAAGAATCAGCAACTGTTTCAGGGAGGAAATGCAAAGCAGTGGAGCTGCGTGTGGGCACCGCTTAGGCAGCTTAAGGAGGGTGGCCCCAGTGTTTGGGAGCTTTGGGAGGGGAAAGAGCCTGCCTGCCGGGCATCTTCCAACAGCCAAGCGAGTCTTCTCTGTGAAAAAGTGCACCCTTCCTATCTTTATTGCAAATGTCTTACATCCTGAATCGATACCACCCCATCAGTAATCCCCGGTGTCCATCAGAGCTCACTGGGGGAATTTTTTAGGCCAATTCAAAGCTTAAGCCCTGAAGGTGTAGGATTTCTTGTTCCAGGTTCAGATGGAAAGTTACAGTGCTGTCTTTCATAAAATGACAAGCAAAAAAAGGAAGGTTGGGATTTTTTTCTTCTTTTTTCATTTTATGTTCAAGTGTTATGGATTTTTAAGTACGTTCCCAGCTTAATTTACCTCCATTAAAAAAAAACCAAAGTGGTCACTCCAAACCAAAAGGGAAATGTTTAAAAACACCTATATAATTATTTTTTACTTCTTCCACAGGTATGTCTTTAGTAAGAACTTGGTTGACACTGATTTTGGTTACAGAGAGCTCTGGTTACAGTTAGTTGGCATTTTCCAGCAGTATTTATTTGTATTAGCATACCACTCATCTTGTCACATCTTGCATGTCGTCCTTCTCTATATGGGGATGGGCAGTGCTGCCTTTGCCTCTCCTCTCAATGTCCTTTGTCTTCCACAGAGCCATTGCCTCAGCCTACCCCATGACCAGCAGTTGCTGCCTTCCCCTTTATTATCCAGAGCCTCACGTCTCCCTTGCATGCCGTCTTCTGTTGCCTTGCTCTTCTCAAAGCCTCAGTGCAGTTAACTCCATTGCTCTGTGCATTGCCCATAACCCTTCTCCATTTTCACTGTTCAGCAACCCAATTTCCTCCTCTAATCCTCCGTTCTTCTGCTGTCCCATGACCATCGGCACCTCACCAGCTTGACATTGTCTCAAATGCTGCATACACATCCAGCAGCAATGTTCTGCTTTTCTCCAAGTGCGGTGTCATCTCCGCCAGCCAGCTTAGCCTCCTCGTGGTTCTCTGAGGACCTCCTGTGAGTTCCTGTGTGCTGCAGGTACACATTGTGAGCAATTAGAAATTAAAGGAAGCTTGTTGTGGGTGGGATCGCTTAAAGGGTGCGTTAGCGCAGTCTGATGGAAGGATTTTCTGCAAGTACCATTACACTCCCAGAAATATGTTGGGAGGGAATAGATTTCTGTGCTTCTCTTGACACTCATTTTAGGAGTGGACATACGGAGGCCTGCAAATTGAAGCAGATGTCTTTCAAGCTATGCATAATAGATGTTCCACTCTTATCTGAACTTCTTTATTTTGCTAAATGTCTGGCAAATTTTTCATAAAGCTTATCTTACTTAGAATTTTACTTGTGCTCTTCCCTCCAAGATGAAAATCTGCTCTGAAAGAAAACTGACTGTGTATTTGCTCAGAGTGCTGCAAAACCTCAGTCCCTGTTCCATTCTGCATAGGACGATGAAAGTGGCAGCATTAAAAGGGCACTTTTCAAAAGTTCTTCTTGTTTTTGAAGATATTATGCAATTAGCCTGTGCAAAGACCATCTCGCAATTAAGAGCAAAGGAATATCTTTTCATGTGAAGGGGGGCTTTCAACTATCTTTTGTTAATAATCCATGTCCTATTACATTTTTCCTTATATAGTTACTATTCATGTCACTGATGGTTTCACTTCTTCATGTGACTGAGGATAAAAGAAGAAATTTGAATAGGCTGAATATACAGTGCTGATATTTTAATCCCTGTGAAGTTTCATAACAAGGTCATAGCTATTGGCTATTGACAACCAAATTTCTTTTGCTTTCAAATATATCCTTGGAAACGGGAAAGACTTCTTGCTGTTGAGCTGTAACGCGTAACTGAACTCTGTTGTTTTTTTATGAATTCAAACAAATACTTTTCCAGTGGAGTGGATGTCCCAAAACTTCCTGAAAATCCTTTATAAAGCATGATGTTCAGTGACAATAAATAAGAATATGAATGGGCTTGGAACCGCCATTAGCTGTTAGAGGTGGTAGACAAACTCTATCAGATGTGGTCCTGGATGGCGTCTGACCATTAACATACATTGTTATTTGCTAGAGTACCCCTCCTTCCTTCCTCCTCTCCTCTTCTTGTCATTTTTCTTCTCATTACATTCTCATAGCCTACATAAATGGGGATTTTTTCCCCATCTGTGACCATATAGAGATATATATATATAAAACAGAAATTGTATTGAACATAAGTTGCGGTAGACTGTGCATATATTAGTATAATGTATATTATCTTGGGAAAAAACATACAACATACTCATCAGGAAGAGAAAATCAGATTCATAAAGTGTGAAATACAGTTCTTGACAGAGGCGCAGCATAAGGTCAGATCTCTCTCGCATGGGGTGAAGCCCTGTGGAGCAGTGCTAAGCGATGTGCTGCTCCCCACCTGGCTCCCTGTCTGTCATGGGGGTGTCTTCTCTTGCTCTTCAGCCTAACGTGCTAAAATTGAAAAATACTTCTGCAAGTGCCACACGCTTTAAGTCTAACATTTCTCTGTTTGGTATGCCAACTAAGGACATAACCAAATTCATTCTTCCAAGAAAAAAAAAAAAGCCTATTGTCTGTAGGAACAGAAAAAAAGTGATAATTCTGGTCACAGACTGAAATGTTTGGGGTTTTTTTTACATCAGTGTGTCAACATTTATTTGATTTTTTTTTTTAATGTATTTTTATGAAGGGATGGATTAAGATAAGCGGATTGAGCTGCTGATTTATGGGTGATGACTGGGGACGTTTTGTGAGGAACCGTGCAGTTGAAGTGTTGGTTAGTTAAGTGTGCAGTGCAGCCGTGCCTCCTGCAGTGCTGGTGCTGGAGTAGGAGCAAGTACCTACCTAAATGTCATCTTTGGTTTTCATGAGCAATGTGAAAATACGTGGTTTGAAAAGTTAAATGGACATGTCCATCTTAAATGTCTTTGGCAGTACAGGCCTGACCTAAAGAGGTGCTGGGGCACATGGTGGCACAGGAGCTCTGTGCCAGGCTGGACGTGCCTGAAGTGGGCCAGTTGCCCGCAAGAGCACACCCCTTCGGCCAGCCTCGCCCTCCCAGAGAGGGCCCTGTCCTCCGGCCCAGAGCGATTCACGGTGATGTGGAAATTGGGTTTTGTCAGGGCACAGCAGGTGGAAATGAATGAAAGTTCATCGTATCGTCTTCAGTGTGCAGCACGTGCTGCAGGACCCTGGTGTTGCCGGTCGTCAGAGAGCTGCACCTATACACAGACACATGGAAACGTCTTCTACAAAACTCGTGGCATCTGTTAACATTAAGTCACCTTTGTGGAGTGTAGAGGGGGAGTATCTTAAATTTCCAGTCATGCTTCCTTCAGAAACACGTACCTGATAATAAGGTGTGTCTCTGCAGAAGCTGGATGTGTGGTGAGGAAATGTTTGTGAGGCACCTTTGAGAGAGCAACCAGACTCATGGTCAACCGATGCCTGTGCAGGGACCTTGTGTTCCTCCTGCTCTATCAGGCTGAAAATATTCTTTAGACATGGTAGCGGTGAAATAATCGTTTTAGTCTATCTGAATTTATCCTGTGTAGAGCAAAGTGGTAAGCTGAGCTCGCCTGTATGTGTCCTGCTTCTGATCCTTCAAAGGGGGCCTGCTCCTGCATCTGGGTGAAGTGGATGGAGGCTTTGACAAGCCCTGCACAGGTGAGGGATTCACCATTTGCAACAAGTTGCAAGAGTGTTAATGATTAGAAAACACAAGGCTATTTTTGTATGTAGTGAATTTATACTCTCTATCTACAGATAATGCGGAAAAAGAAGAATTTGTTTTATAAATTTCAGTTTCACATTGATGTCTGAGAGACATTTGTGTAACTACAGAAAAAAGGATTAACCTCTTAATGTAATTGTAAGTAAACAATTTGCTTAATTCCATCCTATCGCTTGAGTTGGACCCCTGTGATGATGTAATCAGACAAACTTTTTTTAAAAACGTGACAAACTACTGAAGTCATCAGCTTTGTGCAGGGCATAATGTGTCCTTTGAGCTCCCTGTTTCAGGAGACGTATATGCACATCTCTCCTTGACATAGGTGACACTCATGCACGTGCAAAAAGATATAAATACAAGCTTTTGGCTGACCTGTGTTATTCAGATACAAAATAATGTTCTTGTAGGTAATGCAATAGAATTTGAAATATGAATTATGTAAAACTATTGATTTGATTTACTCATTAGAAGCACAAATAATGAGAGTTGAGGATTTAAGAGGAAACCAAGCAAAGGCAGGTAGATAGTGTTTTGAGAAGCACGTAATTGTAAATCTGTAAGTCTGCCTTCCATCACGCACAGTTAATTTGTTTCATGTGATGCGTTCTTGAAATTTTAAAAATAATACTTACTAATGTACTGTAAACTGTACATGTATGTATAAATCCAGGCATTTTCAAAGTTAATCTCAGTCAGCTTAATCTTCTTTTGAGATATTTGCTGGAGACTCAGCCTCTGAATGAGAAACATTCAACTGTTAATTCTCTATTCAGATGAGAAGATTCGATTCAGAAATGCACATTTACATACTAACAATGTTTTCCTGAGTATTTAAACCACAAGCTCAGATCTTAGACATGTTAAATACAGAGGGAGGTGTATGTACGTATTTGAGAACATGTTTCACCAGGGTCCAAAACAGAGTGGTTAAATAAACCCCAAGTTTCTCAAATGTAATTCCACTAAGTTACCAGGAAATGCATACCGCTTCTCATAATGAGTTGTTACCTTAGTGCTACTTTACTAATAATCGTAAAAAAGAGAGAAAAAACTTTCATTAGAAAACTGTGTTTCCAGAAGAGATTGGAGGAGGATTGTTCTTTAAAAGATGGAACAATCAAGTATCCATGAATACACAGAGCATCAAAGCATTGATTTTAATTGTTTCTGTATAAACATGGATAATTGTATAAGGAAGAGTGTTGCCCAAAATAGGCTCTTAATTTATTTCTTCTGAACCAAAATTACATTTTTACTGGTTCCTTTCAATAGAAGTCCTTGTTTAATCACTAATCCTTCACATTCACTAACTCTCTAATTTTCTTTTTCAACCATGTTTTCTGAAAAAGAGTAAATCTCCTAGACCTTAAGGTATCGATCCCTCTACAATCAGTTAAGCATTCAGGAAGAATATACTTGAAATAGATTAGGTGGATGACCATGGCCATCAGCAGCAATCTTAGCCCTCAGAAATGTATTTACCATCATCTCTTCACTTTTCAATAGATTTGTTAAATGCTGTTTACTGAATCAGCACAGGAGCAGAAGGATAATATAGCTGTTCTTTGTTATACAGAGCCAGACCAGAGAAACTTAAAGAGAGCATGATGGCTTTAAAATCTATGAATCAGTCTTTGGAAAAAGAGGTGGTTGTATGTCTGATCCCTGCTGTAGCCTGATAGTCTTGTAACCCAATAGTAATAGCTCTGGAGTTTCTGCTAATTTATACAGCACATTTTGCTTCCTAACAGTGCAACCATGTCAAAGTACGCCAGGTATGCTCCTCGTGTCTTAGGTAGATACCTTGTGAAATCACGCTGCAACCCGAGATGAGTCCCAGTTCTCCTGCTCCTGTTCTCAGCATTGTTCCACACACCAGGCAACAGCACTGCAAAGGTGACAGTGAGCTCTCTGCTTCTCACAGGGGTTTTCTGTTTCAAAGTTTCGTTTGTAACTTGCAGCAGCAATTCGAGATAGTCACGGCTTTCTTCTAAGGTCGTATTTGTTTCAAAGTTGAAAGCTAAGAGCGGTCAGTTGTCGACATCTACCAGCAGCATATCTGTACCACCTAGTTTTGCAGGGATGTATTAACAAAGGATTTTATTTATATTGCTTTCTTCTTGCTGTTGCAGCTTTTCACATACACACACACTTTCAAAGAACAGGTTTTTTCCCTTTCCTGAGAAATGACTAGTATGTAGCCAGCTACCAGAGGGATTCAATCTGCAAAAAGCAATATCCTTAAACCCACTAAAATTGAAGAGAGAATATTAACTCTCTTCTTGTTACCTGAGCCTACAGATAAAGTCATGTTAGGTATGTGTATGTAACGACTGCGTCGCATCCATTGTATTGCACACATGCCATCTTTTCACTGTTGTCTCACTGGAGTTTCAAACCACCTAGAAAAACGGAAGATAAAATCGTGATGCTAGACTTCAAGTGACGATTTGTATTGTCACTATATACAATTGCCAGTAGCCCACAGTCATCTTTCTCATCTTTCTGGTAATAACAGAAAAAGATTAACACTAAGATTAGCTGGAGAGATAAGAACTGAGGAGAGGCAGCAGGAGACTCTAGTAATGACATACGAGCAGAGAAGAAAGTGAGAGTTACTGCTTTGGCTCAAACACGGTGCCTGTTGTGAAGGAGAATTAGCATCCCTAAGTTAAACTTACCTCCCTTTGCGAGACACCTGTTGGGGCCTTTTTTTCCCTCTTCCTGTCTCTTCCCTGCCAACAAAAATCTCTCTGATGCAAACTAAAAACACACGCTGAAAGTATCTGTGTGGGAAAGGCATGAGGTTGCCCATATGGCCAATACTTTTGTTTTGTGATGTGCACATAGGACGCATAAATACTTGCTTTTGCTTAGGCAGGGGAGCGAGAGAATGGATTTCAGCTAAGAGAAAAGTATGTTGTTTTTCATCCTGTTTTTCTTTGTTCAGGCAAGCTTATTCCTTGTAATTATTTCTGTTTTCTGCTTCTCTAACAGTCAAATTTTTAATTCCTTCACTGATTTTAATGTTTTTCTCTATATGCTTGTGGTTTAAAACACAAAAGCAAGTATTCTGTTAAGTAGGGTCCTTGGGGTATGTTAACATACCGGCCTTTTTTTCTTTTAATCTGGGATCAGAACCTCTAAAGTGTTTATGTTTGCAGTTTCAGCAAAGTGCCCAGTGTGCTTTTGTCTAGTATTTAAAGCAGCTCCACTCCAGCATGGTGAGCCGTGTCTGCTGAGGCGGAACTGATCCTACGAGATAAGTGATGTTGTGATCAGGAGACAGATGAGGCTGGTGAAGAGTTATCAAGGCATCTCTTTACAAGATACCTATGGCTACAGGAGGCAGTAGACAGCTTCCTTGCTTTCACGTAGTTTAACTTGTAGGAACTTAATTCATTAAGGCCAGGTCTATTCACCAGACTGAATTTCTCAGGGAGTTACAGCTTTGCTTCAAAGGATTTTCTGTCATTTCATAGTTTCAGGAAGTCAGACAGAACACCATTTTACATGTCCTGTGTAGGCAAATAACTGCTTTACACACCTGAGATCTCTCTTTTTTAAAAAAATACTTACAGAAAGACTGAGAATTAAAATAAATAACACAAAGTCTGAAACTACAAAATATTCTGCTTCCTGCAGGAAACAAGGATTAATTTTTCTTATTTAAGGAATGAATATATACTTACATATTCACATTATATATAATATATATTTATTTGAATACAAAATAAACTTTTAAAAAACTGTTTTCTTTTTGTATCATAATTGTATCTGACTGACTGTTCCTAGTCAAAAAAAGGACCAGAATCATGTCTCATCTGTTCTATTCAGCAGTGAGTGGCTAGGTATAAATCATAGTTATGATCACAAAGAGCAGGTATGATTAAGCAATATAAAGTCAAAATTATATACAAAGGAAAAAAAAGGAATTTTGTCTTCCCTTCCCTTTTCTCTACAGCTAATGCAGGGGAAAAATCGTGACATTTTGGTTTAAGTACCGTGTTAGAAAATACCATAGTTTTCAAATGCTCTTCTATTCTTTGCGTTTTCAGCTTTATTTTTTAATCTTTTCTCTTAGAGGATAATTTGGTAAATTGTTTTCACACCGATGCTATGTTTAATGCCTTTAATACAAAAGCAGTGGGTGCTGTCAAATGTAAAGGGTTGGTGTATCTGTAATTTCTTGATTTCTCACAGATGGCAAAATCTTCTGGTGAAATTTTCGAACTTATATTTATGCACCTCCTCATCCTGATTGCTTTAGAAATGTCAATGAAACTAATAATTTGGAAGAATAAAAATTACATCAGTATTCAAAAATGATTTGGTTTTAAGGTTAATTTAAAATGCCCATCTTTGAAAATTCTGAATTGCATTATTGCTCTTCAGGCCTCAGATTAAGCCAATGAAACTCATCATATTGAAACAATCCTGAATTACCCATTAATTCAATCTTTACTGTTTTGTGGTTTATTGTTATTCCTTTAAAAAGCAACAATGGAAATGTGACAGTACCAAGCCACTTTCTCTAAGTATCTGATGAACTCTTAATAGTTTTAGGAACGAACGAACGAACTCTTACACACACACACAGAGTGCAAACAAAATCTGAAAATTGCTGACAAAAATACTCCTGTGACTTTCATCAGTTATTTGAAGGCTTCGAGGAAAAAACTGAGGACTGGCTCTATCTATGTAGAGTAATGAATATGCTAAGAAGATTGACCGAAGTAAAGCAAATCCAGTTCTCCCAGTGGGCCTTCATGGTAGGTTAAGGCTATGAAAATCCCTTGCTGAGAAGAAGAACAGGAATCACTAGTTAAAACTTAGAAGGGTGGGAATGGGGGGAGATTACTCAAGACATTGTGAGGTTCAGAGAACATAGAGAAGCATATTTTTTCATTTAAGGGAACCTTTTGAATGTTGCACTTGGAACAAGCTAAGCAGAGTATTCAGGAGCAGTATGCCTGAAACGGCAGTATTTCAATATTTCAGGCAGAATGTCTGAAACAGCAAAAGTGACTGAAATGCTGAAGAGAGCCCTGAAGGGCTTTTGTGGTGTTGAGGATGCTGGATGGAGGGGTCTCCACACAGTTAGCTGTCTGTATTTGGATCACAGGTGGCACTGCTTTCCCTGCAAATAAACTGTGTCCTTTCTCTAAGTAATTCTGCAAAACAGCTCAGACCTTTGCTGTCGTATTCAGGTGTTCCTGCCAAAGCTGCTCCATAAACTCATGGTTTACTCAAGGCACTGCCTTGGGGTGTGCAACAGCTGGGTCACAGGCTCTGTGTCTGAGAAATGGAGTGCAGCAGAGAACTTGGATGCCTGTGGTGTGCCTGAGAAGCTAGAGTCAGACAGAACCTGGGTGCAGCTCAAACATACAGAAACACACAGACCAAAACATGGTTCAGTGAGTAGCCAAAGAAAATGAGCCTGCCCCAGGCAGTGGGGGAATGTATGTAGAAACCCATGGGGATATGCCGCTAATGTCATTGGGAACAGTTGTTTCACATCAGGTGAAATGAGACAGAGATATACTCAATTGTATTTCACGGTTGATTTTTCTCATACATTAAGAAGAAAAAAATCCATAAAATCATTGGTTAAGGCATTTTTAAAAGCTTTAACTAAAAAATGCATTGGCCTGCCTGCTAACAATACTGTTCTTGTCAAATATAACTGTTCTGAAGTACAGTGTCTCCTGGACCACATGGAGGTAATTTTGCATGAGTCATTCCCTATATATCTGGACAGTAAAAGTGGGTTTCATCATACTGATGTAGATGTCTAGTACGTAGGATGCAGGCATTTACATCTGAGCTAATCATCTAGTCTCCCTTTATAATCAACAAAGGGAACAGGCACTCCCAGAGTATGATTCATCTCATCTAAAATAGGTCAAAGTGTCTGTTTTCCCTCATTGACTGTAACGGCAGTCTGGGGTGAGTCGCTGAGCTGTCGATGTCTACATCAGAAGTGTGGCGAGTTGAAACCCTCACCACAAGATGAATCATGCGAGCTCTGTATGGTTGTGCTTTGTTATATTTATTTGTGCATTCATAGTAATGTTTAACCATAGGAGCGTAAAGTGACACTGCAGTAAATCTGTAACTACTACCCATATCATCTAAACTAGAATATGAAAGCACTGGTATTATTATTCTTGTTGTAACTGGTTTGAATAGACCTCACAGATACACACTATAAAGTGTTGAATAATATTGCTGTATTCTAACAGCTTAGCTCGTTGCTCCCTGCACATCGAGTCTGATTTACCATGGTGAAGTACACCTTTATGCTTACTGATTAGCATTAAATTTTGGGCAAGACAAACATATTGACTTAAGTGGGCAGAAAAGGCTGTTCTTTGCCTCAATTTTTCTGAGCTCTCCAGATTAGATTAAATCATTAAATTGATGGAAGAGCTATTGTATTTCAGGAGAGCACTGTGCTGGTAGTAAGGAACCAAGGAGGTGAATGGAAGCATAGTGGGCAGTCTGGTGTTTGACACCAGAGTAAGAATTGCTTATATTCAGATACATGCTGAAAATTTTCCAAAGCTGGTGCTTTAACCATGAAGTCACATAAATAGTTTGATACAATGTACTAGGGCTACTGGCTATGAATTATGAATGAACTTTGCTAATCACCAGGGAATTCTGCTTGCCCAACCATTGATTACCTGCTGTCATTTGATAGTGTTTGGAGAAGGTTGCTAAATATAATAAAGCATCCCATGCAGGCTTTGGGAATTATGATAAAAAGTTGACAGAATAACATTAAGAATTCTGGAATGTCTCCTGAGCTCGAAGGAATAACTAAACCTGAACAAAAGTATTGGAGGAAGGAAAAACTGCAATTACAAGGACCTGTTATGTCATGCAAATTCTTCACCTTCAGCCTGATTAAAGGTCTTCAAGCATGACGGAACAGAGCTTGAAAATTGCCAGGATTATTATTCTGTAATGCCATGGTGAAGCTAGTGAATATTTCAGAGACTTACTGAGTATCCCTGCTGTCAATTTGTAGTGAAGTTCCACCGCTTTGAGATACCAAAAGGTGGTGTTCATGCAGCACATTTACTTTTGCTGGTAACCAGCATTCTAATTGCAGTGAAGGTCTCCAGAATTAACATGAATGAGACAGTAGAAAGACCTCAAGAAGGTGAGAAACCTGTTCTGTAATATCTTGTTAATAAACAAGCGATCACCGTATTTTGGCTTTGGGAGCAACCCAACAACATGATTCTAGAGTAGTTATCACAGTACAGAAATACTGTGTTTCAGAGTAATTACTGTTTGAACCCAATCTAGTATTGCTCAGCATTGTAGCTGCTCTTTAATTGCCTAATCATCTTTTAAGTCAGAGGATAATATATTTAGTTCAAGGACTGCAGACCAATATTTAACTCACTCACAGACTAGCACAAGAGAGGAAGGTTAGACATTGGTAGATATACAACAGTTTTCACATTTTGCAGTATAAAGCATGCAAGTACATTCTTCTTCTTCAAGTCACTCTGGTATTAAATGGGAAGCATTTAGCATGCTAAAAGCATTTGCTACATTTTTCCTAATAATTGTTAACCTATCTGACTAAATTGAAACAAACATAAACCCTGCACAAAATCTACCAGAGAGAAACCACAGACTGGACAGCTTTCACAGAATGCTGGAGCCTGGTCTACCAAGTTTTAACAGTAACGTGAAAGAGCACCAAGTTCAGAGCAGCCAGGATTCCTTCTATTGATTCATAATTTGCTTTTGAGTTGTAAAAGCTGAATTGCAAAGTATTGGAAATAGCATTTACTTTTCAAAACATCCAGCAAATTAAACAGGTCAGTCTACATTGTACATTGCTAGCTATCTGAACAAAAATCAGCAAGTGAAAACAATGTATAACAGAACAAAGCGATAACTGAGCCAGATGACTTTTTTTTCAACTGCACTGTGCTATATGGCTATGTATACATGATTCAACTTCATTTGGTATTGCATGGGAATGTTCCACTTTTATCACAGTATGGTATCTTGGTAGTTCTATGTTCTAGTGATTCCTCTCTTTCTTAAGGTTTGTATAGTAACCTCCTGCTTGTGTCCTACTAGCAATGCAAATGAAACTTCATTCAAATGAAAATACAGAAAGAACACTTGAAATAAGATTTTTTTTCTGAGAGTCATGCTTTTCTTTTCATGAGTGCACTTGATAAAATGCGTTCCACCCACCCACAGCCCCCTGCCTTCTCTGTGTTTCACTGATAACGTGACCCACCACACTGAAACAGTATTATTTCCTGAAAGGCTGTAGGCAAGCATGATGATGAGAAGACAAAAAGGAAAGTGAATGTTAAACAGAATGGGAGAGAAAGGAACTGTGCATATGTATGAGGAAATCAGAAAAAAATGGTAAAAAAAAGAAGTGTGGTTAGAGTTGGATATAATAAGGGGGGAAATACGTGCATATTCCTTTTAAAGAGTACGCATCATAGAATACAGAGTAATAATTCTACCCACATTGTTACTCAAAATTATCACCAACTTTTGTGGGATATGAATGTGGGAAATGAGGATGGATTTCAATGACATTAGCATGAGTTTAATGTTAGTGTAATGGAGTTCATATTTTGGAAAATGTTTGAGTAGGAAAAACAATCCTTTTCAGAAGTTGTGTTTAAAAAATATCTTTGCTTAAAGGAAGGACAAATCAGAAATAAAAAGCAAGGGTATTTTATTGACATAGAATTTAACTGGTTTTAACATAATTCCAGGAATTTTTTTTACATATATCTATATAAATACACGCACACACTCTTTTCATCAATTTGCACTTTCCACAAGTATGTAAGAAAATGGTATTTAAGAACAATTCCTTGGTGATAACGTTTACAAGCAAAGCTAGTTACATTTGTAATCAAAGGAGGACTGGGGACAAGAAAAGTATCCCAGCAGAGGAATACCAGTCCTTCTCAAACATATGACAATACTTTAATTGACTTCAACAGGGGCGGATTCCCTGCTGTATGCTTTTTTTTCAACGTAACTTTGAAATCTTCCTCACTGCCAGTCATATCACTTCTTTGAGCAAGCACTTACTTCAGTTTTAGCTGGAACTCACTTTGAGTGAACCATCAGCAAAAAGTCTGTGCATCACTTAAGTTCTCGTGCACTGATAAATTTCACGTTTTAACCTGTCCTAAAGCAATTGTTTGTTCAAGTCTCCCCTTCAGAGTTATTAATGGAAGGAAATACAGCCTATTTCATGAGGTCACGTTTTATACACTCATGTTTATACATTTTAAGTCTGCTCAAAATCTTCTGTTTTGTACCAACTGTTAGATTTTGCTCCTGACAAAGCATCAGCTGGTAACAAACAGCTTTGGCCCTGAACACATGCCTCATTTTCATTCTGTAATTTTATCCCATGAAGCTCTTTATTATTCTATATTCTCTCTACTGTGAGCAATATCCCACAAGTCATTGCCAAATTGAGCAAGCTGTGGGCCCAATAGTGACAAGAGAAAGAAGACTGCTTATTGTTAACAGATATGATAGGTAAATAATAAATCAAAGCAAGAACTTGGGCAACAGCATTCATGTATTTTAGCATGTTGGATGAATTTGGAAGTGTGGAAAACCAGAATGCTCGGGGTATTCTGCTTTTTCTTTACCCCCAACCTCTTCTTAATCACCAAGTTAAGTAATCTAGTATTGGCAAATGACAGCTTAGTGCCCAGTTTTGCCTGTGAGACTACATCCTAAACATCCGTGCCAGACTTTTCAACCAGAATATGAATTTATTTTTTGTATTGTAACACTCGTCACTTTAGAGGTGATTAATTATCATCTAGAGTCTGGTCCATGTCCTAGGGAAATGTTTAGACCTGTACTTAACTCTTTTAGATTGATTAATGTACCTAAAGCTATTTATGTTTCCTTCTGGATCAGAACAGATTTCTCAATCAGTACAACTTTTTCATGTAATATTGTTTAGTTCAGGACCATAGCAAATGTGGGGCGATTCATAGAATTTTCAGGTATGGTGATGAAACTTCTAAGCAACTGCAAAATAGCAACCAATCTGTCATCTGTGGCACTGACCTTCTACAAGGATAGCTGGTGAGAGGGAAAGACCTGAACTGGCACTGGGGAAGACCCCAGTCTGATTTAGAATATCTGAATAGCTATTGTGTATCACATGAATTTCAGAGGCCTTACCTGATCTATTATGGTAGGCTGCTGAAGCTTCTTCAGAATAAATCATCTAATTGCTTTGTGCTGTCTGACGTACCAGTTTGCACCAACTGGTACTAATAACTGGGGAGTCTGAGTTAGTATTTAGCTAACTGCAAGTCTTGGGTGGCAGATACAGACTTTAAAAGAGAAATTCCAAGGTAAACGACTCGATCGTTTTGTTAGAAAATCATTGTGACAGTATTATGACTGAGAACATTAAAAATTGTGTTTGTCTGTTGCATCATATTTTATTTAATGTGTTGCCATGCTTTTGCACTCCATGGAAATGGTTCCTGCTAAAGAGTGTACTTACCGCTTCTTAAATCTCAAAACAATCCTTTTTGATGTATTAGCTGCCATCAGTCATATTCTTCTTTCTAGAATCTCATTTTTTCTTGGTTTCCATGGCCTTATTATTTCCCAGATTTCCTCTTAGCTTTCTGATCATCACCTCAGTAAGTGCTTTAGAGAGGTCTTTCTTGGTACACCTCCACATGATCTCTTCCCTTTTTATTTGCAAATACAGCTTCAACTGCTGTCTCTGTACATGCAGCTCACAAACCCACTCCATTAATCCAGACCTTCTCTTTCCCATCACACCAAGGTCTCTGTCTCTCAGATGATCCCTTTTGAATGATACTGGCTATGTCTTCACCAGCAGGTAGTGTGGAGTGGACAAACGGGCAGATCAGGAAAGCAAAAGAGGTGGTGCTCAGGACCTCACGCCCACATTGTGTGCATTATTCAGAGAGGTTATTTCAGACTAGCTGTGATCTAGTAACATGGACTGGATGCCCACTAGCAGTTGGAGCACTGCTTGGAGCAAAAGCACAGGTGCAGTCTTTGAACACTGGATTAGGGTTAGTTTCTGCTGAAAGCTCATGAGCTCCAAGACCGCTCTGTGATGCAAACTACAGCCCAGTAAGTGGAAACATCCTTCTGAAAGAAACACTGCATGCTATCTGCCATGCTTCCTCTCATATTGAGAGCTGAGTTTTGGCAGATGCCTATAAGAAAGCTTGAGAATTATTTGGGTGTTAATCTACTATGGCACAACCTACCATGATGACCTGCCTCTTTTGATTAAATTGTAAATTTTTTGAAGTGTCATCTTTTTTCCTAACACTGATGCAGCTGGATAATAATTATTTTCTTATAAATGCAAATATATGATTATGATTTTATTCCTATTGCAGCTCATCTACTGTCCTCTCTTTTCTATTTCCAGAAAACTTCTCATGTCTTTGTTGTACAAGACATCTGGTCAGTATAGCTCAGCTACAAGCCAAGGATTGTAAGAACTGTTTCAATTAGCATAATCTTCCAGTCACAAACAGTACAATCTTTGTCATCAGAAAGGAGAATTATTTAAGGTTGCTTCTAGCCATTGTAGTCATTTTGGAGTTGTGTGGTTGGGGGAGGGTGTTTATTTCTTTTTTGTGCACTTACAGCGCAGAGTTAAAATGCCTCAGATATTGCTTTATCATTTAGTACTATGCATTCATTTCATCACTAGGATACAGACCTGTATTTAGTAGAGTGGTGTAACTGGCCAGTAGTGGCTCTGGTAGCTACGCAAAAGACGCTAGAAGATGTGAGAATGACCACACAGTCAACACAACAGCATTGCCAGGTTCAACTATACCAGCAAATTTACAGGAAAAGCTGCAAGGTAGCATTAAATGACACAGGAGAAAACCCTCTATTTAAGCTCTGTCATCCTGAAGACTGACTAGGATATGTATCGCTCAGTTCACTCCTGCATGTAAGTCAGTGTGTCCCTTGCTTGACTAGGCTAGCCTCCATGAGACCAGCCACTATTTCTTGTGCCCCTGTGTCTCCAGCCATAAAGGACTGTTGGGCATCTCATGGGTTGTTTTGTTGGGGGCTTTTTTGCGTGTATCTTAGTAATAACTGTGTAAATTAGGAACTAGTGTTGAAGAGGAAAAATACTATGAGAGTGAGGGTATGGGCACTGTTCTACTGCACCAGTTATTCCCGCTCACCACTCAATATGGCTACTCACGTAAGCCCTCTGGACTGCTCTTCAGAGACACTTCGATCTTTCCCTTGACAATACACAGGTACTTAAGGAGAGTTCAGGCCACCAAAAATATTATTCCATGTATTTCTGTGGGTCATACTGGTTTTCTGTGGCAGATCAGGCCTTTGGAGATCTAGACAAGAGCCTTACACATTTACTCTCCTCTAGCAGACTTCCTATTCTTCCCTAGCAGACTTTTACTTGCCTTTAGAAGACTTTCTTTATCAGTAGTTGGTATTTAAATTTAGATTTATGAGAAGAAAGGATCAAATATTTTTCTTAGGTGTTGTTATCCTGAGGGTGCTTTCATAAGGACTCAGCTTCATTCTTTCAGACTTTCTGAAAGTAGTTCCCATACTGTTCCTGTGCTACTTTGTCTTATGCAGAAAGTAAGAAGTATTTTAGATGTGCTAATATGGTTTAGCTGCTTTGAACTGGGAGCTTTGTTCCAAAGAATGTGTGCAACTAAGACTGTACCTCATTGTGTGTGTCTGATGTATGCGTACATGCGCGGTTTGTTCATACTTTGGGATTTGTATCTCTGAAGAGCAGTGTTGTTGCCTATCTGAGGCTGGTATAACACAGGATTAATACAGTATGTGTTGCTAAAGCTGATTTTAAATTTAAAGTGACCATCAGCATGCCCCTTTTAGTCACTTACTAGTCACTGTTTATACTGATCGGTTTTCCTTTTTTTTCCCCACTCAGATGTTGCAAGGGCAATTGAGTTACTGGAGAAACTGCAAGAATCTGGAGAAGTACCAGTACACAAGCTACAGTCCCTAAAGAAGGTGCTGCAGAGTGAGTTTTGTACAGCTATCAGAGAGGTATGAAATTGAAATTTTTAGTTATTTCTCTGAATAACATCCCTCTCCTGAAAAGAAAAGTATATTTGCCTTTCAGTGCTGGAGAAGCAGGAGTACCTTGTATAAAGGATGATGGATGTGAGAGATGTCTGTAGCTGCCTGCTACCGTGCAGAATGCTGAAGTTACTGAAAAGCAGACACAGAACAGTTGCGTCAGTAAGGCATCAAGCCTGAGACAATTAGCCTCGCTAAGGAGAAAGGGTGATTAATTAGTACTTTAGTATTCTGCTCATGCTCTTTCAGGGTGTGTGCTAACCTGTTACAGCACTGTGCTGGGATATGGGGACATGCCACGTTGGATCAGTGCAAGCTTAAACGCCTCTACTTTGAGCTCAGGTGTGTGATAGGGATGTGCTGATGAAATCAGATTGCAGTGAGAGACAAACAGTGCAAGCACTGAAGTTAACTGAAGCCGACAGGAATCTTGCTGTTGAAGTCAGTCATCAGGTCCCAGTGGGTCTTCCTCCACGTGTCAGAAATCCTTGTCAGATTGCTAAGAACTGTGATCATTACCCTGCCAGCCATGGTCAGGGCCTTCCTAAGCTCTTGCCCAACAGTAGATAAATGATGACTGTTTTCTTCTAGTCAAGCTAGAGAAGAAGCACCCTCCTTTCTACATGCATACGAGCCGTATCTTTAAAGCAGATAAATGACAAATACTTCTGTTAGAAGTTTCTTAGACAGAAACCATGAATTAATACAACATTGTGTCAGACTTCTTACCTACTAAACTGAGTGCTGTTAGCCTGCCAGACAGAAGCAGCCCTAAATGCCCTAATGAAGGCAACATCTTCTCAGCAGAAAAATCTGTAAGAACTTCTGTTTCAGTTTCTCTACCCAGTGCCTGGAACTAATCCTCCCTCGCTGAAATCAATGGGGAGTCTAATGTTCCCTCGATGATAGCAGGATTGAACTCCTGATAGCTAGGCAACAGCAGCGCGTTGATTGAGTGGACTGCTGGGTGGCTGGAAGGAAGAAAAAGAGGAACAGACATTACTTTAATAAGCAAAATGCAACACACTCTTTGTTTTATGGAATATATTCTTCAATGTGAGAAACACAGAGAGGCTTCCACTTAATTAAATGGCAGTTTTCAAGGCTTTTTAAAGGGAATAGTGTTCCATGACAATAAATAATGGCACTATGTACCCTGAAAAGCTGATATTCTGACTAGTCCTTTCATTTAACCAACTAAATGCTTCTTTAATTGACCACAGAGTATTGAAAAGTTTTGGGGTTTTTGGTTTTTTTTCCAGATAGCAGAGCCTGGTACTCCAATCCTTAAAGGCAATTTTCAACCTTTGCAGCATCATCAGTGAAATCTTACCAAATTTATATTAATCTCTGGAAAATAGTCTTAGCAGAAGCAAACACAAAGCTTGTTGAAACAGATACAGAGCCTCGGAAGCAGGAAAATGGCTTAAACAAATGCACTCTCAGTTCAGTGAACTGAAAGCAGATTTTGACAAAATCTTCTCAGTGGCACAAAAGGTCTTTATAGAGTGTTGTGTAAAGACAACCTGCACATGACAGACTATCTAATTACTGTTAGATTCTTACAACCAAATAATAGTCACTTTAAGAAGCCTGGAGCTAGTTGTTACACAAGAATGGAGTGATAATAATGAGCAGTTAGATCAGTTCTACCAACTTCATAAACAAAAACATTTATTTCTTTTTACGTATTTAGTATATAACATAGATAATATAACCTATCTATCTATTATATCACTGTTGGAGAACAAAATGTCTACATGCAAAACAATTAGTAATGCCATTCACCACTACGTATGTAAATCTTTTCTTAGAAGAAATCTTCAAATATAAAAGGCCCAGTAACAAATCTTTTCATTTAGGGAGAGTGGGAGAATTGACATATATACATTGCTAGTACTTAAGGTTGTTCAACATGTGGCTCCTCTTTTCAGTTACTTATATTAGCCCTTGGCAAATGTTTAGATTGTAGCTCTCTTTTTCTCCACCAGTTGAAGAGTTGCTGGAGAATTGCAGAAAACAATTTCTTCTGTTTTTTAAAAAAATAATAAGAAAAACATGGAATATTTTTGGCCATGTTACATTGTTAGACATCTCCAAGCACTGCAGCAAGGGCTTGGAGGATATCTGAGCTGGGTCTTGCCATTAATCAGGGATGCCCTTCTTGCATGTCCTCCGTGTACACTGGAGTTTATGAAAGACTGATAGCTACTTTATTGAACAACGCAGTCTTTTCTGAGCGTATTTGAGCTTGAGATAGCTGAGGCTAGACAGAAATCTCCCTGCAAATGCTCCCTCCCATTGTTTATCTTCTCTTATCCCGAGTGCAAGACGTGAGAGTGTGGTGACTAGCTTTTAATTCCCACTATTAGTACCTATACCTAGACTAGAGGAGAAAAGCTGTTGACCTTACAAGAGAAGGCACAACAGTCAGTTGGAAGTAACGAGAAAAGTGGGAGTTGTTTGGAACACAAGAGCCTTCCCGGAGAACACAGTGAAGCAGACAGGGTATGAGCAAGTAGGTAGGAGTAATCAAAATGGGATGAGGAGCAGTGGCAGGCTTTCTATTAGTATGCAAATTCTGGAAGAGGCTGCTTATTATATGTATGCAGAGATTCAGATCTGCAGTGTGGTGTGTTCATTGTATAATGCAAGATCTGAGCCTAACTTTCTTTCATCAGAAAATCTAGTAAAAGAGGTTAAGGCTGACTCCTGCAGTCCTATGAACTCCATAATGGAGGAGCTTTGGAAAATAAACATTTTCTTTTCCAGTCTAAGAAATTATGGACACTTAACTATCCAGTGAGTTTGATGGTTAAAATATGTCCCAGAGAAACTCAGTATTGGGCTCAGCACAGGTGAAAGGATCAAAGACAAAATACAATCCACACAGGATTGATTGAATGTGACTTGTCCCTTCTACAAGCAGGAATTCTTTAACTACAGTAGCAGGAGGTCACTTTTATGATCAATTAGCCTTTAAAAGTATGAGATACTTTATTAGCTGACATACATTCCAATCTAATGTGTAGGAATCTATTAAATGGCTGTAATGAATTGTATTTATGGGAATTTATTTAGTAAATCAACCCGCCAGTTCAAATCCCCGCACTAATATCTGATAGAAATAAAATCTTTTTAAAGTGACTGAGTAAATGAAATTTAAATAGAAGTACTTTGGCATTTTTCTAGGATGCTATGTCAGGAAATGGTGATTAATGGTTCTCACTTAGCTAAATATAAGTACCACTAACTGAAATAGTCTGTCTGGCACTAGGCAAGAATACGTATTAGCTCTGAAAATAATAGAAATAATTGAACTATGTAATAACCTCATATTTCCTTTTCACCTGAAGACCCCTAGACCAGAAAACAAGTTAACCGAAGTCTGGTCACATTAAAATTGAGTTTTGAAAAAAAATTTAATTGTGTTTTAAAATTACTTGTTTCAAAAGCTCCCTAGCTACGTGAAGATTAATTAGCCTTCTGTAGCCTTATCACCTGGCAAAAGATGCATGAATCTTGTCCATTATACCATTAAGTCCTTTAACCTTCTATGTGTTTTTGCTGTTTATTCAAAGCTGTTGCTATGTTATAGTCTTCTGATTCCCGGGGGGTTACTGGAATAGATGAAGGGCAAGGCTGCGAAAGTGCATGCATAATTGAACTACTGATAAGGTACATTCACGTGGAACATAAAACTAGGCAACCTGAATTGATAAAGTGACTTTAATTGTTGTAAGTCAGTAAAAAGGAAGTTAGGAGAACTGTAAGATAAAGTGAACTTCTGGTCTGGCAAGAAACCTTAAAGAGCTGTAGGCACAGAAGATAGAATAAACAGTTGAGCAAAACACACTAAATCATCAACAAGAAAATGTGGCATACCTTAGCAGATTATGGGAATTTCATTTACTGTTAACATCTGGTAATCGGTACTGAAACCCCAGGAGAGTAACGATACCGCTTGATAAACCCATGCCTCTCCTGATGAGCGGAAGTTTTCTTTCAGGTTGATTCTCTAGTTTCTATTTCTGTATGTTAAATATGTAAAATTCAGGTGTATCTCGCTTTCCTCCCAGCCTTCATTCTACTCCATTTTCCATTTCAAGATTAAATCTAATGTTTTTCTGTGTGGGTATTATTTATAAGAAAATCTGACGTAAATACCTATGGTGAAACATTTATCAATACCAAAAGTAATCAGATCAAGAAGTCCTTATAAAAATGTGGTATGGCAACCAGACACACAAAAATAACCATTATTTCATTCTGTTATCTTACGACTCCCCCCAAAATATCAGGTCATTGCAGAAGAGCACTTCTGCAGGATTGGGTCACTGACAATCGTTTCTTAAAAGGAGGAGCAGTTAACACAAAATACTCTACTGTTGTGTGTTTTGTATGAAATTAGTCTGTGGAACAGCATGTTGTCTTTGAAAATAGTTCAGTTTCTACTTCAGTAGTTTAAAACTTTTAAACTTGCTATAAAATTATCTTGTGGACAGAGCATCCTGGACATTTAAAGACCACTAGTGACTTACAGGCAAAAAAAATGGCAGTTCCAGAAGACTGACCCATTTCTGATGAGGTCTAGATGCCCCCCAGTTACTTTAGAGGTATATTTGATTATGTTCTATAATATTAAAAACATAGTTTCACTATATGCTAGGTAGGATAGTTCAACAAGCCTAGTCAGTGTATTGGAATGATTTCCTTTAATTAATAATTTTCATTTTCATGCCTTAGGGATCTGAATGCCTGGAATCCCAGTGCGCTGATATGCAGTGTGTTATTATCTGGTCGTTTCCTCAAGCTGCCTACCTGCGCTTTTTGTTATTAACCCTGATTTATGTCCTTGCAAATATTAGGGAACCAGAAGAAGGCTGCTGGGTGGTGAGAGCTGAGTCTGGTGATACTGTGCTCATTACCTTACAGTGATGCAGTGTGTGACAGCAGGGGGCTGGCTG